GCTATGATGCTAATTAAATATATCTCACCGTTCTGCACTTAACTTCACAATGAGCAAAATGGTCTTAACCTTTAATATTATTTTATACAATTTTTAAAAATTTTATCATTATATATATATATATATATATATATATATATATATATATATATATATATATATATATATTATATATTTTTTTATCATTGTCTGTTTTTTTATGGTGAAAAATAAAAGATGTTCCCATTATTATATTTTTTTATTATTATTATTATTAGAAACAGGCGTCATTAGCCGATCACAGCGGCGTCGTTACTTCTACGAACACCTGACAAAGCCGGACTTCAATCCTCATCTTCATCTTCCTCGTTAACCTCTTTCTCGTAACTACATCATACACGTGTGCACTTTTAAAGGGAAATACCATTTAGAAGTATGCATGGATATATATATGTATAAATATATTAGATCCATAGAAGTATGTTATTAATAAGGAGTTGGAAATATGAGTAATGGCTGAAATTTGAGTTGAATATTCTTTGGTATGTGTTCTTTTGGAGTTGCGTCGTTCTTGTTTGGGGTCGTTGTTTTTTTTTTGAGATTTTAATTAAATTTTGTTATTTATTAAACTGTGATATATGTTGCTCGCTGTTCTGTCCCTACGTTGTATGTTACGTTGGTGTCCGTCTGCATATTTCATGTCGATGACGTCATTTTTCTTGGTGTATTGTATAAGTGTGTATCGCTGCCAGCATTTTACACGTATGATAGCAAGAGTCTGAGAGTGGACAGAAAGGACATTCTGATATTAAAAAGTTGACGCAGATAAACTGCAGATGCAAATCGATATCTTGACATTAAACATTTACAGTCCGAACCAACCGAACGTCGTACAAGCCCAAAAACACACGTACGCACATGTGTACAAAACAAACCCGCTTGGATCATGATTTTTAAATCTAGCATTTCTGTCACATACCATTTTTAGTTATAATTCTTAAAGATGCCTATCAAATCAATTACTGTCACCAAATGATAATGAAAAAATATTTTGCTGATTAATAAAACCGACCGCAACAAATGTTGGCCTTTCATAAAATGCTGAAAACTGATTAAGGTTTATTCCGCTAACAAGTCGGTTGAATTGTTTAGCGTCTCAGATGAAGTGAATACGTGTGTCTTTACTCAAGCTGGCGGTTGGTGTAGAAGTGTGGTCTTTGAGAAACTGCTTGCTTGCTTGCTTCACTTCTTCCATGTGAAAATTTGGAACATTTACTTTACATGTCGAATGGGATTCTCGCTTCAAGAATTTAACATTTTTACTGCTTAGAGACTGATTACAAAATTAGTTCAGCACGATCTTTTTAAACAGCAGTTTTGAAGAATGAAGAAAGTGTTTTCACTGTAATAATAATTGTTTATGTGATGATGATGATCTTGTTACGAAATAATCAGACAGAAAATTAAAAAATATACGAAGCGGTCAAATAATGAATTACGTTGGAAATTAACATTCATAATTTCGTCTTATTTTTCCAGTGTTCATGAGAATACAATTATAAGTTTGTAGTACAAACGAATGATTGAGATTCTCACAAACTGTCTTCTAATTCAGGTCAGGAATAAACATTTTTATATTTTGATTTGACTCTATCATGCCTGCCTATGAATATGCGAATGTAAGCAGAAATAAGATGATATATTTATATATATATAAAAACGAAAAATAAAGAAAGAGTGCGATAACAATTAGCGGTTAGAAATCAAAATGTATTAATAAACAAACCGTGAGCGAGGAATTAACGAGAAATGAACAGAAGTAAAGAAACAGAATCTTTCTTCAACGGATTGTTTGTTATATTTTGACTTCTTACGTACCTACGTTCCATAACTAAACGTCACGGAAAGCAGTTAAAAATAAAGTTTGAAGAAAAGACTCGAAGTACAATTTCCTTTTAAATGGCAATCAGATGCAAGCTAAAAGCACGCATAACTGTAATTTGATCCTTTAAAAATACTACAACAATGCACTTGATTGATGCCAGATTATTTCATTAATACGGCGTAATTAAATGTTTGCTGAGAATGTTGTTCCTTTCAATTTTGAGACTCTATCGTGTTTAGTGTTGCTTCTGTTCGTTCGTACATTGTTGATGTTATCGTCGGCTAATGTTGTTATTGTCTAGTGTTTTTGTTGTGTAACATTGTTGCTGTTTAGCATTGCTGCATTTTAGTTTTTGTTGTTTTAGAATATGTTGTCAATTTTCAATGTTGTTGCAGTTTAATGTTGTTTATTAGTTAGTGTTGTTGATGTTTGTTGTTTAATGTTTTTTGTTGTTGGTGCAAGCTGTTGTTGATGTTGTTTGGTGCTTCTTCAATGTTGTTGCTATTAACCAGTGCTGTCCGTCCTCCTTTCATGTTTCTGCTATCCAATTATTCAACATCTACGCTAACATCGTCGTTGTTTTTATATAATTCATTCTCTAGTTGCCTCCTGTTGTTGTTGTCGGTGCTGTTGTTGTTGTCGGTGCTATTTTGACGAAGTTGCTCATAGTTGTAAAAAATATATGAACACATTTCACTTGTACATTGGATTATAAACATTGAATTCGCGTGAAAGCAATAAAGTTTGTTGTGCATATCTAATTTATTTTATGTGCAATTCGTTTTAAAATTCTTATGGTCATTGACCAGAGCAAAGAAGTTGGTAGAAAAAAAAGGTTCATTAACATTGAAAAACTCAGATGAACATGGAAAAAATGAAAAATGAAATTGAAAAAAAAATGTTATCTGTAAATATTAAATTAAACGTCAGATAAGGTAAACAATGTTGTGTGTATTCGTGTATGTGGCTATGCACGTGTGGTTGGTTGGTGTAAATAATATCCATTGATGATATGATATTTTAATGCTGCAAACTAAATATAGACCAACTAATTAACAAAACTACGAAGCCACATAAAACTAATTTGGCCGATGAAAATGTCGACTTCCCGTGCAAGCACGTCTCCACAATGGCATGAATTTTTAATAAAATGTATGCGCTACATTATTTATATCCTGAAAAATAAACAAAATCTTTCGTTGACATCCACGAATTTTCCCGAAATAGTTTTTGCCGTTAACTCATTCGTGGCCATTGTTATTTAATAATATTAATAGCATCTCGCTTTAAATATGTATAGCTTTTTTATTGTCATTATTTTTAAAATTATTATTATTATTATTGTTATTATTATTATTATTACTTTTACTTACTATCATCATCGTTATAAAATAAATACTATTGTTAGCATTTCTAGTCATTTTCAAACTCGGGGTTGACCACGGAAAGCAACCTTTGGTCCTTTTCAATTGAAAAGTTAGACAGGAAATGAAGAGTATAAGCACCAAAATTTTGAGATATTTCGGTGATAGAGCCAACGCAAGATGGTGGCATCTTTGGTCTGTCAGTCCGGTCGTAGCATCAGATCGGGAAGTGTTCCCCTCGTCTGTCTGAATATCACAAATATCTACACACTGAAAAATATTTTAAAAAAGCATTTGTTCAATTTTTTTCCTTTTTCTTAGGAGGAACAAAATTGAATTAGAAGAGAGAAAAAATTTGAAATCTGTTGGGAGATAACTTTATCCTCAGATCTGAAAAAATTCACTAGACGTCGTCTCACTGTCTGCTATTTATAAGAGTACAAATTTAAAAAATTAAAACTCAATTATGCACTGCAGTGTGATCGTATTGTCAGGTAACATTAAGTGACAGTAGCTAACATCACTCCTGTTGATGTTATGATCCAACACGCGCCAACGTTCTGTATGACCCTTAGTAACGTTTTAATTACGATGACGGATTATGTTTTGAAAGTTGCTTTATAACTTGTCATTCAATGTTATTCATATATTGATTATTTCATACTACTCATATGATATCCGAGTGATGTTGCATGATGTTGCAGTCTCTTACATCACATCGCATGTTCTTATAGTCACAAATGAACACATCTTGAGTCGGTCACGTCCAATTATATCTGCGTGCATGCATTAGGGTGGTTTTCACTTTCCTTAGCTCCAATGTACTTGTCTGAGTGTGTTGCAAAAAATATACTTTGTGCTGCATGTGTGTATGTGTGTGTGTGGTGTCTGTGTGTGTTTTGTGTATGTCTTTATCTTTGTGTGCGTGTCTATATTTGTATGTATGTCTATATCTGTGTGTGTCTATATTTGTGTGTTGTGTGTATGTCTTTATCTTTGTGTGTGTGTCTATATCTGTGTGTGTGTCTATATTTGTGTGTATGTCTATATCTGTGTGTGTGTCTATATTTGTGTGTATGTCTATATCTGTGTGTGTGTCTATATTTGTGTGTATGTCTATATCTGTGTGTGTGTCTATATTTGTGTGTATGTCTATATCTGTGTGTGTGTGTGTGTGTGTGCGTGTGTATATGAAGGCACAAATTCAGCTCTTTCACGTGATTTGATCAAAATTACTTTATAAAACTTTTGCTTAAATGTTGACGTTTTAATATATTTTGTACAAATATTTTAAATCAGTTTTATTAATCGCATGCTGAAAAGTAACAGTTTGAGAAATATTCACTGCGTCCTGGTTAACAACATTCTGGTGTTTTGACATAAAAATGCAATCACATTTGTCTCAAATGCTTCACAAACAAAGTAGGAAAATTTTTTGTTGAAATGTTGTGAAGACAAACACTCAGTGAAGGAGATGCTGTGTGCCTGCCTAATGGTGAGTCTGCATCTGAAACTAAGTGAAACAACTTTTTTGTAATCACTTAATTTTTATTTTTATTTTATTCTTCAAATTCGTTTGTTGATTGTTTCTGTGAAATGTATCGTTCAACAAAATTTTAAATGTAAACAGTTTGCAGTTAAAGTTATTTATAGCTCAAACTTTGATGGAATATAATTATTATTTAGTGGAAAGTGTTATTAAATTAGAATAATTAATGCAGATGATTGGAATAATTAGTGAAAACAATCAGCAGAAATCAACAATTAACGGGGTAGAATGATTAACCAATCAGAATCATTGATAGACGATAAGTCATTGATAGATGAAAATAACAACGTAGCATGATTAATCAATGGAACTTTTTTTCCAGTCCTAGTGCTTGTGTAATGTTCTCTACAACATCAAAACATTCTTTGTTGTTGTGGTCATGGCTGTGGTTGCATCGTTGGTGATAATAAAGAGAGTGATAAATGGATATTTGTATCGTTTTGTATTTTTATGTATCACGATTTTTTAAAGTTTGACTGAATTGCTCCACTCCGTCACGTCTCCGTGTTATTGTGGCACTCAACGACGCGTTACATGGCACTCGTGCCTCTCAAGAAGATATCCACTTTTTATTCCATCTGTTTGTTGGTCAATATTCATCGTTTTTTTCATAATCATACTCTTTAGTAAATTTTCTCATCAAAGTTTCATTCAATATTTTCTATTTTTAAGAATTTTATAAGAATTATAAGGCACAGTTGTTTCAACGGCATGTTGGATTAAGCATTTACTAGTTAGAGCATGTTTTATTTTATTTAACTTTTTTATTGGGCTTAAGGATCAATCGATATATTTTCTCTTTCGTCGGACAAATTGCATACTTTATCAGAGTAGCACACCAGCAGTAGCACAACATCGTTTGTTTGTTTGTTCGTTTTTCTTGTTTGTTTGTTTGTTCATTTGCTTGCCTGCTTGTTGGCTCGTTCATTTTGTTTGTTTGTTTGTTCACTCTTAGTTTGTTTACTCTATAACATTACTTTATTCATTCATTATTTTGGTCATTTTTTTCATTCATTATTTTGTTTACTCGCTGGTCTGTGTCATTTGTTTCCAATTAGACCCCATTTTTTCAAAATAATTCAGCAACTTCGTTGGACCAGTTAGTGCATTTCTCGCAAAATTTATTTTCTCTTCAGGCATTTTACATTTTTATACGGATGATAATATAATATCAAATATAAAAATTTGAAAAAATTACTAATTTAACCAAAATTTAATGGAAATAAATCTGTTGAAATATTGTTAGTTGTTCAGTTTCGTTTCGAGTAAATATTGATTTATATCTAAGCGGAACAGCAAAAACTCAAAGTTGAGTATCAGAAAGCCACTTCAAACCTGCCTAACAAATGATGTATCGTGCAATTTGTTCTTCAAGTTTAAGTGCCCCCAGTGCTGGAATGCACCATCATTCAATTTCTGGTATGCACGTTGCCTTTGAATCAATAGAAAATTTCATTCACCTAATTTATGCTTTTTTAGCTTACAAACATTTACTTAAAAAGGTACTGTATCTTGTTAGCATAAATTTCTTCTGCAGTGTCTGAAAATAAGTTGCTCACAGACACAAGTGGAGTTTCAATTTATTGTTCTTATCTCAATTGCTGGGCTGGAAGTTCAATTGAAAATGCTTTAAATTGTTTTTTTCCTTAGCAAAGTTCTGCATGCCTATTTTTTTAATTTATTGAGCATTTTTTCATTTTTTAAAACAAGTCGATTATATTTTTAATAAATATAAGCAATACTGATTTTTAAGCTTAATTGTTACTCTTTTACAATTTTACATTTCCAGCAGTAATTTTAACGAAAAAGTTACAAATTTATAAACCGCAGAACTCTCAACAATACTCGGAGATTGATGCCTTCATCGTCTGTTACTCCATCACAGACCGACAATCATTCGACTTCGCTCTGAGTCTCTTGAGAGAGTTTCGCCACAGAACTGACACTGCAGTCATCTTGGTAGCCAACAAAAGCGATCTGGTAAGATCTAGAAAAGTTACCTTTGAAGGTTCGGCAGCTTATTTGAATTACTCTTTTTCGGTTCAAAGTTTAAAGTTGAATCATAAATTATTATTACCAAGCTAATCACTGAAAGTGAAGATAACGTTCCTTCAAACAAATAGAAATTCTGTTTTTATCTATCTAAATGCAATTTTGAAAATATTATTCAGCCGACTCTATGTTTGCACGAATAAGATGCAATGCAAACAATTGTAAAATTTAACTAGCTGATTAATTTTGAAATAAATTTAAAAACTAAACATAATTTTCAATTCACTTAAAGAGGGAAGATCTGTGTGCCGCAAGTACAACTGCAAGTTCATAGAAGTATCGGCAGCGTTCAACCACTGTGTAGACGATCTCCTCGTAGGGTTGGTCCACCAGATCAGACTGAATCCATCGAGGCAACGTGCCAAAAGTGTTCCGAACACGGGCTGCAACATGTCCTCAGATGCTCTCCTTTCAACCAAGTCCTCGTCGTCATCCTCCTCATCTTCACACTTCTCCACAAGCTGCTTTCGAGGCGCGAAAGTATTTTTTGCTGAATTTCTTTTTGGTTTCCGAAAAAAAAAATCCAGATCGTGCGACAATTTGTGGTCCGCTAGGCGAAATTGGCTTAAAATTTTTTTTTAAAATGTAAACAATCTTTTGCATTTTTATTAATTTGAGATTTCAGCAGCAATTCCGATTTAAGTTGATGTTACTCGAACATTTATTTGATCAAACTTATCGTATTTTGTACTATTTTATTATTAACTTTAAAATATATACGTATTTTTTTTAATTTCACATATGTATTAATCAGCTTTCATTTTTGCTTGTATGATCTCCACCAATCAGTTACTCCACCAAGCAGCTTCATTGAAATTTTGAATGTTCGTCAACCCATCTACGGCGCTAACATAAACAGTCATTGAGACTGTGGTGCACATGTACACGTTGCATCCATTATATATATATATATATAATATACCCATGGTTGTATCGCATACCTCATATGTATGTACTTCATTACCGGTTTTGTTGGTCATCAATTTATTTATATGCACCAATTTCATGTCAGTTAATACATTCTAATAACGAAACAGCTGCCTTACCCATATTCTTTACTTTAAATTCTAACTTATTGGAAGAATGTTCATTGTTCAACCATCATTAGAAGCTAAATGTTGTACGAACGCGAAGGAATGCACGAAATGATGGCATTACACTCACGAATCTTATTTGTAAAAATCTGAATGTGTTTATTATCAAACAAATATATCATTGATATTTTAAACGTTTCAGAGTTTCATTAATTCGAAAAAATATGTTACAAAAGTATTTACATCTTAATTTTTGTTTCCACCAGTACAAAAACAAAGAAACATTTAAAGCCAAAACAAAAATCTATTTATAATTTAAATATATTATCTAATGATAACTTAAAATGATTCGTTGACAAAATTGTAGATGACGTTTCTAAGCCGTGGACTTTAAAATGTATGAGGGAGTCAGAAGTAGCCTCGATCAATTTTAAGAACTGCAATATTTTTAAGCTGTCGTCCAGTCTGAAATCTTCCCACAAATGGACATCTAACTCTTGTTCTGACCAGCGCTTTATATTATCCTTCATTGTAAAGATTATTTTCACACCTGTTTCTGAAAATAAAAAATTTGAATCAGGTAAATTTAAAAAAAATTCAATTTTATAATCAATTTTGTTTGGTAAACTTAATTCTACATTCGCAAAATAATATTAGCATTACTGCATTGTGATCGTTGAGATAAAAAAAAACCGCTTTGAATAGTAAATTCGCATTTCATCATAGAAAGTGCTCAGAAGAATGTAGTAATTCCAAGCAATAGGTGATAAATTTGTGAAAGGAAAACAAATATCCTCAGAGGAGTCAGACACAAAATAACCTGTCTCACTGAGATGATCCTTCTCTTTCAACAGAAAAATGTACACGAGAAGAGATTCCATGAAGATTTTTGGATACATATTTCTTGCAAAAATATTCAAGTAATTGTTTCCTTCAGCTAATTTAGTCTTGAATAGTAAATCACACTTGTACCAGAGATGCCTCAACTTTAAATTATTCATTTGCGTCCAGAAAAACGAAGACAGGAGAGTCATAAGAGCAAATGAGAGGACATAGATATCCGAAGGATGATGCAAAATTTCCGAAACGACGTAAGATGACGCACTGCCCAGAGTCATTCCTAGTGAGGTCATGTACAAAATTTTTAGCAGAGCAGGTTCCAAAACTTTAGCTGTTGACAAAAAGTAATTTACTCTAAACCAATATCTCGAAAGATTAATTTCTTTAAAGTTGAACTGAAAGTTAAAATGTTTAATAGTTATAATGTCCTACTCTGGGGCAACACACACATCAAGTCGTGATAATAGATATCTCTGAAACACTTGAAGACAACTTCATTCTTTCTGTTCAACCTGCACAAGAGGATTGCATCAGTTTTGTCTCCAACAAGTTCCTTGATGAATTTGAATGATAAGATAAACCCAGTGTTTTGCTCTTCATACACTTTCTGGTTTGAAAGAAATAAATTGATGCTTTCGTATTTGGCGCCATTAATTGAAACCTGAAAAAATATATAAAAACATTTTAATTTATTTCCGTTTAGCATAGCGGATATATAAAAATATATAAAAATATATAAAAACATTTTAATTTATTTCCGTTTAGCTGAAAGAAAATATCAACAACAACACACGTTTAGACGACATTTTCTCCGAGATCGGGGTTGCCGTTTGGCTACCTATGATGAAACCGAAATACCCCTCGACGCCATCCACATCTGTCACTCGCCTCAGTATCACGCAACCCCGCTTTCACCCTGTCCTTCTCCACCTGCTCTCTCCATCCCAATCGTGGACGACCCCTTCCTACCACTCCTTCAACCTCGAACTCCAACGCTCGCCTAATCCCGACCCTTTCATCCCTTCTCAACACATGTCCATATCACCGCAATCTCAATCTCCTTATCAATGTCACAATGTCCTCATTCAGTCTCAAAGAAAATATCACTAATATATTATTATCAATTAACAAACTTAACACTCAATAATTAAAAAAATAAATAGACATGAAAAAAGTAGCAAAACAAACTTTAATTCCACTGAAATATTTGCTGGAAATTAAAGAATTAACTTCATCTGCCGAAGGAACTCTCAGACCAACTTTTTTAAAAAAATTTGCAATTTGTTCGGATTCGTTTTCATTTAATGACTGGTTGGACTCTAATAATTTCTATGAAAATAAATTAAAAAACATATCTGTGGTTCTTTAAAAATTCAATAATCATATAGAGGATAGATGAAATAAAATAAAATATGTTAAATCATTATATGCTAAAATTGAAATCTAAAGCACAAATCTAAAATGTTAGAAAAATAGTTTTTCATTTCAAAACCAGTCATGCAACCACACCAGCTTGTTTATATCTGAAACTCTCATGACATCACAGTTTGTTATAAAACTTATCTTAATCATTTATTCATAAGCACCTTTTCCATACCCTTTCAATATGTTTCATTTTTTTAAACTGAAATTTAAAATTTTCTTAAAATCATCTTGTTGTTGTTGTCTGTTGCATTATTAAACACACAAAATTTTGTTGTTATCCCATGAACCTATCAGACATTTTTTTAAACAACTTGCAAGATGTGAGAAAAATCTTGTATTAACTTGCTTCAATAACTCTCTATGCTATGCTATGCCTTAATTTCTGAAATAGACAAAAAACTACTAGCTAAATATTAACTGTGTTTTAAAGAAACCTGTATGCTGTTAACTTCATTCGTGAGATATTTCTTAATATTTGAGTTGAAATAATGAAGAAATTCATTTGTTTTCTGGGGATCTTTAGTAAAAAGTGGCCTCTTCAACAAATTTTGCAGTATTTTTGTGGTTAATGTGAATGACTTCTGACTGTAAAATTAAAATTGAAATCAAATTAATTCTTAAAAAAAAAAATATATGTAACTTTTTATATATTTAGCTTATTTTATTTTATTTCAAATGCATAATTAAGCCACAACTTCACACATTAATTAATAAAAAACATTATTACTTAATTTAATTATTATTATTTTATTCTACAACAACACACGTTTAGACGACATTTTCTCCGAGATCGGGGTTGCCGTTTGGCTACCTATGATGAAACCGAAATACCCCTCGACGCCATCCACATCTGTCACTCGCCTCAGTATCACGCAACCCCGCTTTCACTCTGTCCTTTTCCACCTGCTCTCTCCATCCCAATCGCGGACGACGCCTTTCTACCACTCCTTCAACCTCGAACTCCAACGCTCGCCTAATCCCGACCCTTTCATCCCTTCTCAACACATGTCCATACCACCGCAATCTCGATCTCCTTATCAATGTCACAATGTCCTCATTCAGTCCCATCATTGACATCAGCTCTGTATTACTCCTCCTATCTTTCACTTTAACCCCACACATCATCCTCACCATAGCTCTTTCAGCCCTCTGCAGTACATTTTCCTCCTCTCTCCTCAACACCCAAGTTTCACCACCATATACCATCGCTGCTCTCACACATGCTTTATACACCCTCCCTTTCATCTTCACTGACCATTTCTTTCCACACAATACCCCACCCAGCTCCCTAAATTTCATCCTTCCCACACGAACTCTAGTCGTAACAGCGTTCAAACATCTTCCATCCGCGTTCAGCTTAACCCCTAAATAAACAAAGCTTTCCACTCTTTCAATACCACCACTGAACTCCGTCCTTGAGTCCGTCCTATTAATCACACCATGAACACACTTCTTACATTTGAACGTGCCTTCCACCTTTTTCAGTGCCCCCCTCACACCACTACATCTCTTATGCACTCATTTCTGACATCCTATACACAATACCGAGTTAGCCTTCACTCTCCTGTCACATACCCCACAGGGGTCTATTTTACTTATCACTCGCTTCCCACCTTCCCCACTTACCATTAACTTCGTCTTACCAATATTAACTTTTAACCCTTTCTTTTCAATAACACTTTTCCATCTGTCAAATTTTAACTGCAATTCTTCCATGCTATCAGCCACCAAGACTAAATCATCTCCATACAAAATCTCAAATAACAACCCCTCCATTATATTTCCACACACAACATCCATCACAATTGCAAACAGAAACGGTGATAACACTGATCCTTGATGCACTCCTACCTTAACACTAAAAGCGTCCGACATCCCCCTTCCAACCCTCACCTTTGTCTTTGCCCCTTCATACAGCTGCATCACAGCTTTAACAAGTCTCTCATTCACTCCTTTCTTCCTCAACGCCCATTATTTTATTATTTTATTCTAATAATTATATTTTATATTATATTGCTATTACAATAATAACATATGTAAAACATAACGCAGTTGGTTGATGAGTCTCAATGTCTTTGCCTAGTAGTCACTCAAGAAGTCTAGTATCTCTTTTTTTAATAATTAATTTTTGAAATCATCTTAATAAAAAAAATAAAAAGTTAATTTAAATTTTAAAGCAGTTGAATGAGAAAAAGCTAAAATTTAATTAAGTATAATTTAATTTTTTTTAAGTTTTAAAAGCTAGCAGCACAAACCCTGAAAAGTCCACATTCCTTTCACCATCTCCATCTTCACGTTTTTTATTTTCTTGCAGCCTAATTTGAATGGCTGGGGCTTGAGAGGTCGAAGATGGAAATGCAGATGCAGATGCTGAGGGAGAAGTTGAAGCTGAAGCAGAGATTCTTCCTAAAAAGTTTGAAGCATGTAAAAAAAGTTTTTGTTGTATACAAAGTTTGTGAATCATTGTAAAAAAATTATTATTAATTATTATTATTATTATTATTTTCCAAATTTTGTTTCCTAAATAAAAAACATCACAGATATTTTGGTTAGGTCATGAAATAAAACCAAAAATTTATTTAAAAGTGAACTTGTTGTAAAGGTGATGAGTTGGTAAAATATTTTTGATCAATGATTCGATCGATTCGAAAGCTTCGAAAGCTTCCTGAAAAATGTTTCACCATTTAAAATAAATAATTTAGAAGTTCATACTTAACACATTCTCCCATCTTTTATCTTCTCACAAATTTCACAAACCTGCTTAATTTTCAGCCATAATTTTTATTTCTCATTGTATAAAAAATTGAATCTTTAAGAGTGGTAGAGAGGGATCTCAAAGGTTCACAAAATTGAGATAGGATATTTATTTAATAATGTTGTCTCTTCTCTACAAGTAACATACGTGATAAAAAAGACATTGTATAATGTAAAGAAAATATACATTCTGTTGGAATTTAACATGCAGAATATTTTCTACAGATTAAATAACAATCACAAAAGTCTTATAGTTCAATGATGTAGCTATTTAATTATAAACATTAAGTTAATAAGATGATTTATTTAAATGGCTTTAATGATATAATATTAAAAGCATCATCTCATTCGATAAATATAACAGAACGTTTTTTTAGAAATATGTAATGTAAAGAGTTTTTTAAGAATTTTATAATTGCGTTTTAATTTTGTCACAACCTTTGCTTGTCAACCTTTGCCTGGCTTGGACGAAATAAGATCACACTATAAAATTTTAGTCAAATCTAATAAACATAGACCTATAAATTGAAATAAAAAGTAAATATGTATTGTGTATGTGTATATCTAGTACATCTATTTGTGCGCGTGTGCGGTGTGTGAATGTGTGTGCATATTAGTTTAAATAATTAATTAATTTATTATACATTCAGCAATTGCCTAATGCACAGGTTTGAATAGATTTTTGGGCATCTCATTAGCTTCAACGTTGTTGTTTAAGTTTACCGTACGTGCACACAAACGCATAGGTACTGGGTATAGTGGGTATTAAAGGTATTGTAGGTAGTACATATGATGATTGGCTGCTGTACGTATGTTCATGTTGTTACACGATTGATGAAATATTGCATCTAGACACATAGGCCCAATGCATACATAAAGGTGAATGTTTACAAATATATATAATCAATGTATAACATTTACATACAATTTTTATATACGAATTTACAATTATACACATTAAACGTGCAAGCTTACGTATGTACGTTAGTAACATTCCGATGTTATTTTTCATTATTGTACTACAAGGGCGACGTGTGTTGTGTCACGATGGTATCATCATTTGACGATGACGATGATGACAACGAGCTTGATAACGATGGGGATGGAAATGATGACAACGAGCTTGATGACGGTTGTAATATTGACTAAGATAAAGAAGAATGACGAGAATAGATAAAGGACCTAAAACACGCACACACACATACTCACAAACACATGCAATCATACACATACATCTCAACACACACACATTCACAAATATAAAGTTTAAAATTTATTTAATTGCTAACCTGTCATAACGTTATAAAGTCCTCATATGAAAAATGTTGAATCATATTTTAAAATTTAATTTATGTAATTTAAGTTATTACGTGATTGTTTGCAAAAAAAAAATTTAATTTTGAAATTACTCCTGTATCTGAAGAAGTCATTAGTTAGTTGACCAAGAACAACACCCTCCACTTGTGTCTACTGATTAATCTCTTTCCATATGATAACGTGAGTCGAAGGTTTAAAAATGAAATGTTTATGCTTTTAGGTCTTTGTTGTTTTTTTTGTTGTTGTTGGTGATGTTGCTGTTATTAGTTTTAGTGTCATGGTTGTTGATGTTGTCAACATTTCCAATGTTCTTCGTGACGATGCAATCAATCTTTGATCTTGTTGTTTCTTCATAAGAAGTATTTTTTATGCTTTTCATGGGTGATCAGCGGGTTTTTATAATTTTTATTTCTTTTTTCCAGTTTTTCATTTTATTTTATAATTTTTTGTTTGCTTCGTTTATTCACCTTAATCTTTCTTTAAAAAAAAATTTTTTTGGGAGTGAGTGTGCCGGTTGATGTCACTAGCACATTATAGTTATTTCCACTTTGATAAGGTGTTATCTAAAGACATGCCGTGACTTCATTTTCTTTCGGTGAACGTTGGCAACGAAGGAAAGAGAAATAATATCATAAGATATGTGTATAATAGATATAATATTATAGGATGTGTATATAGGCATGATGGATATATCATAGGATATATGTATATAGGTATGATGGATATAATATCATAGGATATATGTATGTAGATATAATGAATATAATATCATAGATATGTTTATGATAAATATAATATCATAAGATACATGTATGTTGGTATAATGGATATAGTATCATAAGATATGTGTATATCGGTATAATGTATATAATATCATAGGATATATGTACGTAGGTATAATGGATGTAAAAGGAAATCACGAAATTGACTCAGTCCAATCAATGCCTTCCTTCAACTGATAAGTAAGTCTCAGCTGCCGGCCTAAGTGGAAATATTTGGAATAAATTTGAATAAATAAAAAAATATATAAACATCGATAAATGAATGTTAGGATAAACAATTTTTTTGAAAAGTTATTGATACATAAGATGGGAAAGTAGATAATAAGATATTTTATATTGCGAAAAATAAATCATGCGTTAAAAAGCTGAATGCTGATGTAGCAGAAATGCATTAAAAAGTGCATTCCGCTTATAAAAGCAGCAAATAACATATTGCAAAATATCTTAAATGTATTTTTGTGGATAATTTGATTTCGAGGTACGACGCTGCTGATGACGTTGTAGTCGAGAATGACGTTGCTGAGGTTGTTGTTGTTGTTGTTGATCGGGATGATGTTGCTTATGATGATGATGGTGATGTTGCTTTTGATGATGATGACGATGACGACGATGATGATGAAGATGACGATGATGATGATGTTGACGACGATGATGATGAACATGATGATGATGCTGATTATGATGATGATAAGATATTGTTGTTACTATGTTGTTATATGTTTACAGTTAGTCCTGTGTAGTTGTGTAATTTTTGTTGTTGTTGTGTTTTGTTGTGCTGATGTGCTGAGGCTGCTTATTGCCAGCCGATGCAAAGAAGTGAACTTATTGCGGGAGAAACAAAAAATCGATTGCTTTTGATGAACTGCATGCGTGGGTGAATGCGTGTGTGTGTGTGTGTGTTTTTGTGTGTGTGTGTGTTTGTGTGTGGGGCTGTGTACTTGTGTCAAGGTCCATGGTGAATGCTTTTCTGTTGGTGTCTTATGTTTTTAATTGTAATCTGATAAATGAATCGTTTGCATTTTTTCTGATTTGAATATATCAGTTTAAATGTTCGTGGTTGAAACTTCCGTGAGCATTTTATTTCTATCTTTATATTATCGTAAGATTATTGCAACACCGAAGATGTTCGGTGCTATAACATCTTTCAATATTTCTGTCAGATTTCAAAAATCAAGGCCACCAAAAGTTAATCTAATTAATCCGGGCCTCAAATCTGCATACATATTGGGCCCTTTCCTTTTTTTCAATTTACAAATATGCCTTGATACTTCGTGCGCGTCTTACAATGGAAGAATTTATAAATTTCATGTTTTCCTACATCTTACAGTGGAGCCCTGCACTTGTTGTGGTTGTTGTCAACACATTTTCTTTATTTCAAAGTTCTGCATTCATTTTCCTCAAATGTCATATTTTTAGAAGAAATAACAGTAGAAGTTTCATCCTAAGCAAACAAAATGACGATTATTTTTTCAAGTTCATACTGATTCTCTCAAGTGTGTGTACATACCACACACGTACACACACATACACACACATATCTACAGACACACCCGCACATACACACGCATGTCTACACACACACACATACACACACACGTACACACACACGTTCAAATGTACGTAAAAGATGACATTACCTCCATAAAATTGATGTAATGAAAGCAGACTTATAAAGCAGCACACAACACCGAACAATATGAAACTTAACAGCAACGACGCATTTAACATAATGGAGTCCTGCTTGGTCGATAGACCCGCAACTGAACTGGCAGTTTGCAATTACATTCAGTGGAGGGGAGGTTAGGTAGATGTTTTGCCGGCCCGGCACGCACGAGGTATCAGTCTAAGAACGATCAGTACATGTATTTCCTTTTCTTTACACAGTCTATGCAAAAAACACATGTCATTCATGTTGACCTTGGAATTGAGTTAAATAGTTTTAATGCTTTTAAAAACAAATAACTAGTTCATATAACAACCGAAAACAGTTTGGAACAAGGTTGAGTGGAAATTTAAGTAACAAAATATGTTTAATAGTTTGAAAATACTTTAAAATAAAAATTTTTGTTTTGCAACAGACGTAAAAATAATCAGACGTATACACAACATCCTACAATAAATCAATCTTCCTCTGAATGCCTACGCGTTTTATTCACATATATACATCAGCAGTTATAAATAATGAAATGACATTAATTTATTTCAACAGTATAACTGGTTTGAACTTTCTTTCAAGTTTTTGTATAATAACCTTTGAATTAAATGCGTCTAATTTATCACTTCATTTCAGCCGTTTTGAGATTTTATTAAATGTCTTTGAGCGGTTTTTATTGTTTTTAATTGTTGCGAAACAAAAAAAAAATCATTTTTGATGGCGTTAAATATATTTTTCAAACACTTCTTTAAACATTTTTGAAAAATTTTTGACTCATTAAAAATCCCTTTAAGTGAAGTTACACCAACAAATCATGAATGTCATTTTTCAAAACACTTTTCAAGATTCACAATTTTTTAAAAAAATGTTTGTAAAGATTAATTGCATTCAAATTATTGCTAATATCAATTGAATTTCTACTTACAATCGTGCCTATCCCTTTTGTATTATTCTGGCTTCTGATGGAGTTTTTTGCAGATGTGAACGAAAATATTTCATTTATTCCATTTATTTTCTAATCCCATTTGAGATCCCTATCCATTCTTATTTCAAATTTACATTTACATTCCCCTTAAAAACTGTGATTAATTTTATTCAAAATTCTGCAAAACTTTCAACAAAATTAAAAACTTACACTCATAGTTTATCGGCTTGAAGATTGCAGTGGATTACCAGGATAAAGTGTCTTTCAAATGCAGATGCGGTTACAATCGTTACTCTCCATACCACAGTCTTGGTTTAAACTTTCTGTCCATTTGCGTTACTTGGGCTACATGTTCATATTTGCATCGTGGCATCGTGACATTGATGGTGACAAAGACAAGACACAAAGCAGGCCAGCTAGCAAAAAAGCAGGACCTGACATGGCGCCCGTACAGTCTGCGATCGCATCCTGGCATCCGTTTTCAAAACTATTTTTTGAAAAACAAAATTATTTAATGTAATAGTTTAAATCGCAGTGTGTGTGAATGCCAAAAATCATCAATTCCATCATTTTATTTGTAATAACTATAAACGATTCCAAAATTTTAACCATATGGTAAACTGTTTATATTTTCGTTTCGTTAGGTCATTCCCTTGGCTCATATTGAATCATTCCCATTTAATTTATGATAGTTCTTATCGGAACGAAAAATATCTCGCTCCCACAAGTCTTTTCTGTTTTGTATTTTCATGTCATCTTCTAGTATTTCTTAAATCTTGCACCTGCTGACTCATTAATTAAAATATGAAACAGATGATGAGCATTTTTGAGGTAATATTTTATTCTCCACCAAAGTAGAGAAACAAAGAACGACATCAACCTTCAGGCTTCTCTAACCTCATCTCCCACTAAATTGACTTTGAAGAACATAATACCTTGAGAACCTAAATAACGTAACATGACAAAAGATTGGTTCTTTCTTCTTCGTTTATGGCGAAGGTTATTTTGCCGCAACCTTTTTGCGCATTTCGTGCTAAATAATTACACACAATTGAAAATATATTTGACGGCATTTCAAATTATAACAAATTTTACACCAAAAACATTTTAAAATTTGTCAAAACAAATAAGCATCATAGCATGGTATAACCTGACAAAACGCTATATACGTGACGTACATAATCCAACTTACCATAACACACTTCCCTCTAACTTGTCATTTTACATAATAGCATTGATGAATATCGCGAAACACGAGCAATTAATTATATTTATTCACATCATTCATACTCGCTTAAAAACAAAATTCATTCACTATTCTTTCTTAATACGTAATAGAAACTTTCTTGTATTTGTAAATTTCCTAGAAACCTTGACAAAATTACCAATAAATTCTTATTTCAAATTTCATAATAAACGATATGAAATCAACTAACCAGTTGATTTCATATCAACTGTTGTAAGAATTGATTTGCCTATGTAACATTGATTATACAAACATCTAAAGGAACCTTTCCATAAAGTAATCGACATCAGCTAACATGCTCTGTTCATCACAACTATCATTTAAAAACAAAATCGTAACTACCAACAACAACATCGTCATAATCAACAACAA